CGAATCCTTACTGAGGTATCGGAACGCTATCCGTAGGTTTGCCAGACGCCCGTAAGCTGCAGCAGTTATCTGATTGATGTGCGCCTCAGGAGATATGCTCGGTGTTATACTCACCCCCCAGATCTTTTTCCTTGAGTGAGGTTTGCAGTCTTTGGCCATCTAGACTATATTGTGTCTGCGGTCTTCTTAGCCCTTCCACAATCTTCATGACTTTGCATTTGGCAGGGTTAAATTCAAGGAGCCAGTTGCTGGACCAGGCTTGTAGCCTGTCCAGGTCTCTTTGTAGTCCTGCCTGATCCTCGTCCGATTTGATTCTTCTCATTAACTTCACATCATCTGCAAACAAGGATACTTCTGAGTCTATCCCTTCCGTTATGTCGTTCACATATACCATGTGTGTGTGTGTGTGTTACCATTTTGTCCTAGGCACATGTCAATTAGACACTAGGCCTGTTGTATATGTTTATAAGTAACTGTCACAATCGTGTGGTAGAGTGTTACTGTTATGGTAGTGTTACTGTTATGGTAGAGTGTTACTGTTATGGTAGAGTGTTACTGTTATGGTAGAGTGTTACTGTTATGGTAGTGTGCTACTGTTATGGTAGTGTTACTGTTATGGTAGTGTTACTGTTATGGTAGAGTGTTAATGTTATGGTAGTGTTACTGTTATGGTAGTGTTACTGTTATGGTAGTGTTACTGTTATGGTAGAGTGTTACTGTTATGGTAGAGTGTTACTGTTATGGTAGAGTGTTACTGTTATGGTAGAGTGTTACTGTTATGGTAGAGTGTTACTGTTATGGTAGAATGTTACTGCTATGGTAGTGTGTTACTGTTATGGTCGAGTGTTACTGTTATGGTAGTGTTACTGTTATGGTAGTGTTACTGTTATGGTAGAGTGTTACTGTTATGGTAGTGTTACTGTTATGGTAGAGTGTTACTGTTGTGTAGAGTGTTACTGTTATGGTAGTGTTACTGTTATGGTAGAGTGTTACTGTTATGGTAGAGTGTTACTGTTATGGTAGTGTTACTGTTATGGTAGTGTTACTGTTATGGTAGAGTGTTAATGTTATGGTAGAGTGTTAATGTTATGGTAGTGTTAATGTTATGGTAGTGTTAATGTTATGGTAGAGTGTTACTGTTATGGTAGAGTGTTACTGTTATGGTAGTGTGTTACTGTTATGGTAGAGTGTTACTGTTATGGTAGAGTATTACTGTTATGGTAGAGTGTTAATGTTATGGTAGTGTTAATGTTATGGTAGAGTGATACTGTTATGGTAGAGTGTTACTGTTATGGTAGTGTTACTGTTATGGTAGAGTGTTACTGTTATGGTAGTGTGTTACTGTTATGGTAGTGTTACTGTTATGGTAGAGTGTTGCTGTTATGGTAGAATGTTACTGTTATGGTAGAGTGTTACTGTTATGGTCGTGTTACTGTTATGGTAGTGTTACTGTTATGGTAGAGTGTTAATGTTATGGTAGAGTGTTACGGTTATGGTAGTGTTACTGTTATTGTAGTGTTACTGTTTATGGTAGTGTTACTGTTGTGTGGAGTGTTACTGTTATGGTATTGTTACTGTTATGGTGGAGTGTTACTGTTATGGTAGAGTGTTACTGTTATGGTAGAGTGTTAATGTTATGGTAGAGTGTTAATGTTATGGTAGAGTGTTACTGTTGTGTAGAGTGTTACTGTTATGGTAGTGTTACTGTTATGGTAGAGTGTTACTGTTATGGTAGAGTGTTACTGTTATGGTAGTGTGTTAATGTTATGGTAGAGTGTTACTGTTATGGTAGAGTGTTAATGTTATGGTAGTGTGGAAAATACTGTATATATTTTCCAGAAATACAGTAGTTATATGTAAATAGATGGCCATACTATATTTAATAAAAATTGTTATAAAAAATGGGAAACTAAGCATGCGCAGAAGAGACTCGCCATGTTTGAACTGGTCAACACAAACGTTAGTGAATAATGTGAAGAATTTTCGTGCTCTAGAGGTAAAATTGGGATGACACCTCTTCAGTAGGAGCCGAAATTGTTGGATGTGCATTCCTGCATAACTTGAGATATCAGGCGACTGGACAAGACAGCTCCAGGAACCTCAGATAAGCTATCTAGATTTGTGTTATAATTCTGGCCAGTATTTTCATAAATTTAGACAACGGGCAAATTAAATGTGGAAAATTGCATTTATCTGAATGTAACTCATTATGTACATAACAGTAAATGATAGCAAAGATAATTATTATTTATCAGTTACATAGACAAGTAGGAATTTGGGACACCTAGGTCGCAAAAATGTCCCCCTTCGATACCTACAACTGTCTTATCCACAAGTTGCTCTAGGCCTATTAATTACAAATGAAATATGTATCACCAGGAATTCTGGTAAATATATAAATTTGTGGACTGTATATTAAAATTAATAATGATTATATATACCCACATTTACATAACAGAAGGAGAATATATCTTAATATCACCCACCAATTTGACTGGAGATTAAGGTGTATCATACTCAGAAAACCTCACTGTCTATCCATGAAAATAACACTAGCCAGAGTTACAAACATTAATAAACTTATCTGAGGTTCCTGGAGTTGTCTTGTCCAGTCGCCTGATATCTCAAGTTATGCAGGAATGCACATCCAACAATTTCGGCTCCTATTTGAGAGGTATCATCCCAATTTTACCTCTAGAGCACGAAAATTCTTCACATTATTCACTAACGTTTGTGTTGACCAGTTCAAACATGGCGAGTCTCTTCTGCGCATGCACAGTTTCCCATTTTTTATAACAATTTTTATTAAATACAGTATGGCCATCTATTTACATATAACTACTGTATTTCTGGAAAATATATTCAGTATTTTCCACAGGTAGAATGTTAATGTTATGGTAGTGTTAATGTTATGGTAGAGTCTTACTGTTATGGTAGTGTTAATGTTATGGTAGTGTGTTACTGTTATGGTAGTGTTAATGTTATGGTAGTGTGTTACTGTTATGGTAGAGTGTTACTGTTATGGTAGAGTGTTAATGTTATGGTAGAGTGTTAATGGCTAAAATGGACTGAGGTTTGATCCTTATTCATCATCCCATGTTGGGGATTAACAGGAGGATCGAGCCTCAGCCGCCACCTTCCAACAGTTTCATAGTTGGTAGGGATGGTACCTGAGTAGCAATAGCGTCAGTGTGGAGCGTCAGCCAGTATACGAGAACTCTGAACTTCGATCTTCTTGTTGATTCGCCGATATTCTCCCGGCCCAGGCCTTTTCCAAGTGGTGGCCCAGCCTTGGCTCCCTGTCGAGGGAGTGTCTGAGACTTAAGTCTCCCATGGGAGGTGGTACAAGTACCCCCTCATCGGTGGCACCAACTGTCCCCGGGCCTAGCCACATCCCCACCCACACGGGGTTCGTAGGGAGAAGCTAGGCCTCTCTGGTCTGCCATCCCTGCCCCAAGGGGGCTCCTGGGAATGACAGTCTTGTGAGCTGCAAGCTCTGGCTCAGGCACCTACCCTGCCATAGAAGGGCTGGGCATGGTGTCGATGATCATCTGTGTGTAAAATCTTTGTTGACTGATCCGCTCATTGGAGTCCTTTAGCCAGAACTGGAGTTCCCTCAATAGGAAGAGAATGGAGGTAACCTGCTCAGCTGTGTCCTTAAGGTTCCAAAGTGATTTTTAATTTGTGTGGGGGGAGGGGTGGTCTAATTTAATGCTCAAAAGACTATAATGTTTCTGTGTATCAATGGTTTGCAGTCCGCTCGGCGGAGTCCTGAAGACCTCCCATTTATTAAACCTACATGAGGTAGTACAGACGCTATATGACTTTGTGGTTTTAGAGGGAAAACTTAATATTAATATCAGCTGGAATGATGCAGCTAATTTTGACATGGGTTGTGTAGGTCATGTTGGCTTGGGTTGTGTAGTTCACGTTGGCTTGGGTTGTGTAGTTCACGTTGGCTTGGGTTGTGTAGTTCATGTTGGCTTGGGTTGTGTAGTTCACGTTGGCTTGGGTTGTGTAGTTCACGTTGGCTTGGGTTGTGTAGTTCACGTTGGCTTGGGTTGTGTAGTTCATGTTGGCTTGGGTTGTGTAGTTCATGTTGGCTTGGGTTGTGTAGTTCATGTTGGCTTGGGTTGTGTAGTTCATGTTGGCTTGGGTTGTGTAGTTCATGTTGGCTTGGGTTGTGTAGTTCATGTTGACTTGGGTTGTCTGTATCAGTTACCATTTGTCAAAAGCACTTGACACTGCCTGTTTTGTGTAAATATTTCATTGTCGTGCCTACCAACCCAGTGTAACATTTCTTACCTTTTCTTGCGGAACAGGTCTGTAGAGATGTTTCACTAGTGTAAACAAACTTAACAATTCCTCTTCCATTTTACTTACAAACTTCTCACTCGATGCTGTCACTTTAATGTGGTGGGAAGGTTTGACAGGTTTGTGCCTAGGGTTAGAGGTCTCCTGTATGAGAGGGATGCCACTCTCCTGAGAATGCTAGTTTAATAAAGAACCCAGCATTGATTTCGGCATATGCAGTGGAGATATTTCCACTTTCCTTTGCAGTGCTCAGTGACCCTTACGGGTTTAAAGGTTAATTTTATAATAATGCCTTTCGTTTGAATTTGCTGTCACATGATCAGTAACATGGAACGAAGTATTGATATGGGTTGTGGGATGTGAAAACTTGAGTTCTACTTGTTCAAAATTATGATTTCTACGAGTAGCTCGTTGATAGTGGAGTACATTTGATAAAGTTAGAAATGGTATATGTTTAAGGAACTAAATAAACCATTTCAGTGTTTTGTAAAAAAAAAAAATGCAAAATTTCTGTTTAGTGACCACGACTTGTAATTTAAGATCTACCTCCTGATGTTAATATAAACATACCCTCAGCTATCACTTCATATTTAGTGATGGCTTTCAAATTTACACAAAATTAGCTAATGAATACATCTATTTCTTAATTTTGTGAGGTGTTAGTAACATTATGCCTCCTCCCGCAGACACGTACCAAGCGCAGGTGCAGGCGGCGTGGCAGAAGAGCTGGAACCAGACACAATCCCTTTTGCAGAACCTGAGGTTCAGAGAACGTGGCCCTCTCAAGTCTTGGAGGCCAGAAACCATGGCTGAGGCTATCCACGCTGTGCTGAAGGAAGGCCTATCCTTGTCTCAGGTGGGTACTGCCACTGTTCTCTTTTCTGTCATCTATGTGAATTCTACTCACAGAAGCCCAAAACCCTTAAGGATCATGCAGTGCCTAGGGAATAGGTAATCAGGTTTGATCCATTCCTTGGATAAAGAACTCGATAATAGCATTAGGGCAGTTCGCCCCGTGAAGTCTGAATATAGCATTTTCAGTTCTTCTAGTAATGTTGCTAAGCTGAACATTTACGTAGTGTGGAATATACCAGTTTTTGGGGAGCACAAGAAATAGTGCCATTAATCAACCCAGAAAGCAGAACATATTTATTTATTTATTAACAATTTGAGCACACATACAGAGGTACAAAAAAATACAGATAAGAGCAGCATGCCAAAGCCACTTATACTATGCATAGCATTACGGGCTGGCTTAAAATTAACTTAAGATTAACTAAGCAATGATGAAATCAGTGATAAAACATTAATGTAAACAGATTACTATAAAGCACAAGTGAGTATTACAAAGACAGGTCATATGGTTGCATGCATTGTTGTACATTCAGTCGTATGGAGTATTCTGTTAGGTAGTGTATTTAAAAAATAAAGTTAGACTGGGTTTTAGGTTTAACATTTATGTGATATAATTGTGAGAAACATTTAAGATATACAATTTATAAGGTTCAGTTATTCAGTATTTATTTGGTTTTGGGTGAGTAAGTGATCTTTGAGAAGAGACTTGAATTTATAAACAGGTAGTGTTTCTTTTATATTTACAGGTAATGCATTCCAGATTTTAGGGCCTTTTATGTGCATTGAGTTTTTGCATAGTGTGAGATGGACACGAGGAACATCAAAGAGTGATCTGTGCCTTGTGTTATGGTCATGTGTTCTGTTGAGGTTGGCAAGGAGATGTTTGAGGGGAGGGTTAATATCAGAGTTAAGTGTTCTATGTATGTAATAGGTGCAGTAATAAGTATGGATGTTTTGTATGGTGAGTAGGTTTAGTGTATTGAATATTGGTGGAGTGTGCTGCCTGTAGTGAGAATTTGTTTTCATTCTAACTGCAGCCTTTTGTTGGGTAATTAGTGGTCTGAGATGGTTAATTGTTGTTGAGCCCCATGCACAAATTCCATAGGTGAGATAGGGGTAAATAAGAGAGTGATATAGGGCCAGGAGGGCTGACTGTGGAGCATAGTACTATAAGTTTTTTTTTCACATTAAGTAGTGGAAATTACTGAAATTCTGTAGCTCAGTGAAAAGGTATTTAATTCGACTAATAGGACCTTGATTTCACTTTTGGGTACGATAACACTCATGGCCAAATTTCTTTACACCAACTGCCCCTCTTCATCTAGGAGTAAATAAGTATTGTGTTGTAAGGTAAAAGATCAAGTGTTTACATTGAAGCATATATGTGAACAGTATTTAGATAAAAGTAGGGAAGTTTTTATTGCATTTATGGATTTAGAAAAGGCATATGATAGAGTGGATAGAGGAGCAATGTGGCAGATGTTGCAAGTATATGGAATAGGTGGTAAGTTATTAAATGCTGTAAAGAGTTTTTATGAGGATAGTGAGGCTCAGGTTAGGGTGTGTAGAAGAGGGAGACTACTACCCGGTAAAAGTAGGTCTTAGACAGGGATGTGTAATGTCACCATGGTTGTTTAATATATTTATAGATGGGGTTGTAAAGGAAGTAAATGCTATGGTGTTCGGGAGAGGGGTGGGATTAAATTTTGGGGAATCAAATTCAAAATGGGAATTGACACAGTTACTTTTTGCTGATGATACTGTGCTTATGGGAGATTCTAAAGAAAAATTGCAAAGGTTAGTGGATGAGTTTGGGAATGTGTGTAAAGGTAGAAAGTTGAAAGTGAACATAGAAAAGAGTAAGGTGATGAGGGTATCAAATGATTTAGATAAAGAAAAATTGGATATCAAATTGGGGAGGAGAAGTATGGAAGAAGTGAATGTTTTCAGATACTTGGGAGTTGACATGTCGGCGGATGGATTTATGAAGGATGAGGTTAAATACAGAATTGATGAGGGAAAAAAACGTTATCTACAGAGGCAAAGATATAGTAGTACCAAAGTATAGTAGTACCAACACTCTTATATGGGTGTGAAGCTTGGGTTGTGAATGCAGCAGCGAGGAGGCGATTGGAGGCAGTGGAGATGTCCTGTCTAAGGGCAATGTGTGGTGTAAATATTATGCAGAAAATTCAGAGTGTGGAAATTAGAAGGTGTGGAGTTAATAAAAATATTAGTCAGAGGGCTGAAGAGGGGCTGTTGAGAAGCATCAGGTAAGAGAGAGGTGAAGGTTTATAAATTAAAAGAGGAGGCAGTTAGGGTAAGATATAAACAACTATTGGAGGATAGATGGGCTAATGAGAGCATAGGCAATGGGGTCGAAGAGGTATGGGGTGTGTGGTAGGGGGTGTGTGGACCAGGTGTTTACAGTGAAACATTTAAGTGAACAGTATTTAGATAAGGCTAAAAAGGTCTTTGTGGCATTTATGGATTTGGAAAAGGCATATGACAGGGTGGATAGGGGGGCAATGTGGCAGATGTTGCAGATGTATGGTATAGGAGGTAGGTTACTGAAAGCAGTGAAGAGTTTTTACGAGGATAGTGAGGCTCAAGTTAGAGCATGTAGGAAAGAGGGAGACTATTTCCCAGTAAAAGTAGGCCTTAGACAAGGATGTGTGATGTCACCGTGGTTGTTTAATATATTTATAGATGGGGTTGTAAGAGAAGTAAATGCGAGTCTTGGCAAGAGGTGTGGAGTTAAAAGATAAAGAATCACACATAAAGTGGGAGTTGTCACAGTTGCTCTTAGCTGATGGCACTGTGCTCTTGGGTGATTCTGAAGAGAAGTTGCAGAGGTTGGTGGATGAATTTGATAGGGTATGTAAAAGAAGAAAATTGAAAGTGAATACAGGAAAGAGTAAGGTTATGAGGATAACAAAAAGATTAGGTGATGAAAGATTGGATATCAGATTGGAGGGAGAGAGTATGGAGGAGGTGAATGTATTCAGATATTTGGGAGTGGACGTGTCAGCGGATGGGTCTATGAAAGGTGAGGTGAATCATAGAATTGAAGAGGGGAAAAGGGTGAGCGGTGCACTTAGGAGTCTGTGGAGACAAAGAACTTTGTCTTTGGAAGCAAAGAGGGGAATGCATGAGAGTATAGTTTTACCAACGCTCCTGTATGGGTGTGAAGCATGGGTGATGAATGTTGCAGCGAGGAGAAGGCTGGAGGCAGTGGAGATGTCATGTCTGAGGGCAATGTGTGGTGTGAATATAATGCAGAGAATTCGTAGTTTGGAAGTTAGGAGGAGGTGCGGGATTGCCAAAACTGTTGTCTAGAGGGCTGAGGAAGGGTTGTTGAGGTGGTTCGGACATGTAGAGAGAATGGAGCGAAACAGAATGACTTCAAGAGTGTATCAGTCTGTAGTGGAAGGAAGGCGGGGTAGGGGTCGGCCTAGGAAAGGTCGGAGGGAGGGGGTAAAGGAGGTTTTGTGTGCGAAGGGCTTGGACTTCCAGCAGGAATGCGTAAGTGTGTTTGATAGGAGTGAATGGAGACAAATGGTTTTTAATACTTGACGTGCTGTTGGAGTGTGAGCAAAGTAACATTTATAAAGGGATTCAGGGAAACCAGCAGGCCGGACTTGAGTCCTGGAGATGGGAAGTACAATGCCTGCACTCTGAAGGAGGGGTGTTAATGTTGCAGTTTAAAAACTGTAGTGTAAAGCACCCTTATGTCAAGACAGTGATAGAGTGAATGATATATATATATATATATATAAATATATATATATATATATATAATATATATATATATATATATATATATATTTTATATTTATATATATTTATATATATTTATTTATTTATTTATTTATTTTATTTAACAAAAACAAGTGGTTTTAAAGCAAAGAACATACTACGACGCCGAGATTTGAACCTGGGTTGTCCAAGCAGCCTCCTGGAAAGGCAGCTGAACTCTCGACACCCTAGATCACTACACCACCATGTCATAAGATGTTAGATGTCCAGTGAGAGTACTAGACATGTTTTCACTTAATGCTAGGCACATTCAAGAAGTGATTACCTCTACACTCCATGGGGACTGAAATTCTAATGTGTAGCTGCAGATTTGATGATTTGTGTGTAAAAAGTGTGAATTTTTAATTTACATGAAATATATTTTAGTTTACTTCTGGACGGCTTCAGTATTAAATGGCTGATGCACCTTGGGGCCAGGATAGTACATATTAATTGCCCTTTCACATAGGCATATTTGATGTAGTAAAGTAGTAAGTGGATACTGACTATCTGATCAGCTTCATTATTTTAATCATGGGGGAATGCTAAACATGTAGGATTATACAGCACATGTGGGGGGGGGGGGGAAGGTATTCAGATTCAATTCAGGGAACCGGAGCACAGATTCAATTCGCTAGATCAAGAGCCCCTCACCAGCATCAAGGAACCTCCCTTGAGGGGTGATCAGCTTCAAAATCACCACTGGTGTGGTTTCCTGAACACAAGGTTCATGCTACTATTGGGTGGCACAAGTCACTTTGCCAGTTTTATTGGAATAGTGATATCTATTTTTTTATTCTATAACAAATGCTTATTTTGAATGGCTTCAAAATATTATTGATGGTACATTATATAATAAGGATGATAACTAATAATTTAAATCCAAATAGGTATAAATTTGAAATTTTACTGACATAGTGCAACGTTGTATGACCTTTGTGGGTTTAGCACTTAGTTTTTATTGTAATAATAATATGTACTGAAATAAAAACTTGGAATTGTTGAAGTCTGATCAATTACTGAAGAATGCCTTACCTGATTGGCTTCAAACTTTTACCATTGATGGGCTTTATTAAAGCATGACTTGTTACTTTGGGCTGTGTAAATTTCAATTTGCCAGTAATATAACTCAAATTGTTTCCCATGTACCAGCTACTGAATGCCTCTTCTGATCATCTTCAAACCGAAAATGATGTATGTTAG